AGCATAACAGTCTTTTCACCACCTCCCATCAGCTCACCCGTGCTATGGCAGTAAGACACAAAAAAAATGATAAATGCAGCATAATGTGTTTTGCGCCGTATGTTATTGGTATATGCATGCGCCGTCCTGTTTTCCTGTCCCGTTAGTTACAAATTTTTTTTAAAACTGTTCTTAACTGCTCATAAAGACTGCGATTTTTTGACTGTAAGAAAACTTTCCTTTTGACGCATTTTTGGCTCCGCTTTCTTCCTTCTTCTTCTTCCTTAAAACAAAGTGATGGAAAAAAAATTATTTGTTGACACTCGGTTGAGAGACCAAGCACAGTTGCTTTACCAGAAATTTTTTGAAAGTGAGATGGGAAACACTTTTGAAGGCAATTATAAAAAAAGCAAAAAATCTTCAAATAACTACTGATTTAATGCTTCAAATCAGCCAGCAATATTGTGATTATAAAATACCAAGAATGCAGCTTTAAAATACGCCAAATTCCGTAAAAAAAAAGCAAAAAGCAGGCCACCGAGTAGCCTCACAACAAAGTTTCATATGCCTGCCTCCGAAATACACAGTTAAATGTAAAAAGCCGATACGCCGCAGCATTTTCTTTACCCGTCTCAGTTAATGCAAGCTGCATGAATTATAACAGTCCGCGCAGCTGGAGCCTGAAAGTATAAAATCAGTCTGGTATGGGCCTGACTTTATTGACTAATACCTGCAGGAAGTGAAAGTTTATTTCGGGTCTTTAGCTTTTCATGAAATTCGGATGAAGAATCGAAAATCACACTGCTTCATCTCACGGTTTCAGAAAGAAGTTATCCAAATAGATGGACAAACAAAAAAATAAAAGCAGCCCGCGGAGCTTGATTTTAGCCTACAGCCAGCTGCGAATTCAGGCTCAACGCATTCTCCAAGCTTACGCCGAGGTGTGAATCAAGTTCTGCAGGATGCAAAATAAAATTGTGTGGGAGCGATGTGTTCATGTTTTTCATCTGCTGTTGGCGAGCTACTGAAATTTCTACGGCAGAAAAAAAGATGAAAAATTTTACGAAAGTACTATTTAGCCGAGGAGTTATAGAGTCCAATAGGTAGGACGCTGGGCTCAGCAAAAATGGTAGCGAGGTTAGCAGGGAGGTGTCAAATGTCACAAAAAGAACGCATGTGGTGAAAAACAGCTGAATTTAACGCTTACATGACTTCGGAAAAAAGCAAGTAAAGCGCGAAAGTACTAGATTGGTCAGGACAATCCGAAACGCGGATGCAATCTTTTTTCTGCCAGAAGCTGACAAACTCTCAACAAAAGAAACAACAATCCAAAAAAAGCAACAATTTCATCCAAAAAAACAACAATTTCCTTAGGTTATCTATATTGACTATGTCACTACCCGTGTTAATCTAGTTTTCTTTCTACTGAGCTAAACAATGGCCAAGCTCCAGCAGTGGCGTAATGTATCGGAACTTAGAAACTACTTTATCCGCCTAAAAATCCAAATTTATCTGCAACAGCTAAGCAGAGTGAACTAAAAGATAATACATAAAGCGTGAACTAAAAGACAAATAATTTTACACTGATCGTTGCATCACAGTTTTATGAGCAACTTTGTTTCCTGTTTGCTACACAGCAGGTCACGAAACAAAGCAAAATGCTGTGATTAGGGTTTTGCAAATAGCCTTATGCGCAAAAGTTTCCATGTAGGGATTCGATGAAGTATCTGTTTAAAAGTCGACAATTTTTCAAAAGTTTTGGAGTTTCCAAAGCTAAGTGTTAAGAAGCAATGACTGTAAGGAAATACAAATGGCCGAGGCTAAGATAGATCATTCTGTTCTAGGTCAAAAGCAAGAAGTCGTAAGATAAAAGAGAAAGTCAAAATATTCCTCCCAGTACATTCGCTTCCAAGATGCTGCGCCTCATCAAGAAACTGCACCTCATTATGTCGAGTACGGTCAATCCAGACCCTCATGTTTTATTTGAATTTGTTTTCAACAGCTTATATGTCCACCGTCACCGTGTAGATGAAAGCTCAAGTTCGGCGGATTTTTCTTCAGTGGCTTCAGTCGCCGATTATACAATATTCTTTCAGCGTATGCGATGCCATTCCTACGCATGAAGAAGTTCTTGCTTTATTGGTAGTTAAAATTAATGAAGTTTAGCCTTTAAATCATTAAATGATTTTTGACATCAGATTGATCAAGTAGCTGTAATAATGAGTTGACTAGCAAAGTTGAGAATTCAGCGTTGTCCTCTTGCATTTGCATGCTACTAAAGCTATTCTGTCAAAAAAAATTCGTCAAAATTAAAGCGTAGCGAACAGGCTATCCAAGCTATGTGCTGCCGGACTAAGTTGGGTTCTTGTACGCTCCTGCAGCACTAATCCGGGCTGACTGAGAGTTGAACTGAAAAAGGTTAAAAAGAATGCATGTAAAAAGCAGTCCCGCAATGCATTTTGTTCTCGATGTTGTAGTATAAGAAATTCACAGCTCATTGGAGCCAAATATTCGGTGACTGAAAACAGGCAAATTGTACAGGTAAAAGACAATAGCTAACGCAGTGAAAGAACTACTTGGTGCTACTCATCGATTTGCAGTTCTTTGTGTTGTGCATCCTTGCAAACATTTGTTTTGGCGCTGTGAAATAAATCGGTAATTCACTTTTTGGCACAATTGGAAAACAGAATAAAAACTGGCTATCTAAAATCCATTTGCCAGTCTGTGGTCGAGAGTGGACTAACTGCATCACACGATGAAATCTTGTTTCAGCAGTTAGCTCGTTTCTGATTTCAAGAATATAGGGCAAAAACTAAAGTTTCCTGGCATAAAAATCTACAAACAGATTTCTATACTTCTATTTTTATGCGTTTTTTGCAGCTATGCAATGCTAAAAACGCATACTGACGATAGGTTGTCTGTGTGTGTGTCTGTGTGTGCGCTGCGCGTCTGTACCAATTTTTCAACTCGAGACCCGCAAAAGCTATGGGACTGAAACTTGGGGAACTTAATCTACATGCGCGTACTGACCCCCATCCCCGAAATGGGCACTTTCGTCCGTGTGGTACCTAAGTATGGGTCCTTGAAAGTTTTTCGCGGGTAAGTCGCCGAATCGGGAATCAGAAAAGCTAGAAAGCTGAAATTTTACAGGGACGTTACCTGCCTACGTAAGCCTCAATGAGCTCAAACCCAGACATTGGGTACGCGTGGTACCCACGTACGGGCCCGTGAAATTTTTTTCGAACAAGTTACTAACTTAGAAGCCAGGAAAGCTAGAAAGCTGAAATTTTGAGGGAGAGTTTCCTGACAGTTCTGGCCGCCAATCTTAATTTGTTTAGCTAGAAACATTTGCCGAAAAAACCGGTGCCGGTAGCGACAAAAACTGCGAGGAACTATGCGAAAAACACATCTTCGCACTGGCAACCCGTGCGTTGGCCAATTATCATTACAGTTAGAATGGTCTCATGAGGTGATTTTTTTTTGTCAGACCGTTTAACGCTTGACGCTGTGGCCTGAGGTAGGACTGTTTAATGCCTATGCGCTCATAAGCCTAAATTAAAACAAGCTTTCTTCTACTTTTTTT